AAATATATATATATATATTTTGATATATATTTGAAAAATATAATCGAATCGTTTCGTACAAATTTTCTTTAGGATTTCGAGTTCGTCGTTTATAACAAAGACAACAATAACGTTAAAATACAAAATCAACAATTGGTAATAACACCTACGTTCTTAGATGGAAAATATAGCGCTGATTTTGTCAGACAAGGATCGTTGGAATTACAGAGGCAAAATAGATGATAATTATTACAATAATATAATAAATATACTTACAAAAAAAAAAATATATATATAGTTAATAATTGTTATAATGATAATTTTCATTCATTTTATATGAATTATTATTTTTAAAAGATGCACTTCCACACCTGGCAGCGACGATTGCAAACGCGAAGCATTCGCGGCAAATGTTTTGCCACCTATATTGTCAGGACGTTTAAATACCAACAATTCATTTACCTTTCAATACGGACGCATCGAAGTAAGAGCTAAATTACCGGCAGGTGATTGGATATATCCCAGTAAGTTTAGAATCAATTTTTTAGTAAAATTAAAGTATAACAAAATCGTTATTATTTATTTATTAAGATGAATTCCAAAGTTCGTTCATTTATTGGCGTTGCTTCAGATAATACAATTTTTTTTGTTTTTTTCATGTTAATAATATATATAATCAGGTTTTTATTGCACAACTTACAAAGTTTTTTACAATGTCTTATCACTATTTCACTTATATTTATCTCACATTATTCATGTTAATAATAAAATTATTTTATTTTTGTACAAGTGAAATATATTCATTTAATTAATATTATATATATATATATATATTTATATTTGGTTCACTTTAATATTTTTGTAAACGTAAATAATTATTTGACACAATTGAATTAAATTCTAATATCTATGGTATTTAATTGATTTACAGTAATATCCTTGGAAGTAGCGAATAAAAATAAACAAGAAGAATGGACGCAACCTGTAATAAGAATTGCATCCGCTTCCGGTAATTCGCATTTAAGATCGGTACATAGTACGGATTTGAGTGGTCATGTACTTAGCGCTGGTGGATTAAAATCACTTCCAGTGAGTGAAGGTCCTTATGCATCAAGATCAGAGCTTTTACATAGGAGCATGAATTCGCTTTGGTCCGATGACTTTCACGTTTACGAAATTGAATGGAGAGACGATCGTATTCTTGCTAAATTTGATAATACCATCTTTGGTGAACAAAGAATTGATAATACGTTCGATCAACCGGTAAGAATAAATCCGCGACACGATTCCGAATTATATAAACTATATAACAAAAGTATTATTTATTTATTTCTTTATTTCTCCGTAATTGTAGTTTTTCTTAACCTTGGGCTTAGCCGTTGGAGGTTACGGGGAATTTCCTGACATGAGTAGAAGCAATAATATCGAAAAACCATGGAAGAACCAAGGATCGAAGGTAAAAATAATAATCATTTGTCTCTCGCGTTTATTTAAAAAAAAAAAAAAGAAAAAGGAATAATTTAATGTTTGATTTATTATTCTTTTATATACAGGCCGTTCTTAATTTTTACGAAGCACGAGACCAATGGGCCAAAACATGGGAACAAGGGAAAACGAGTTTGAAAATCGATTATGTTAAAGTTTGGGCACTGTGATCTTCCCTCCCCCTCCCCTTACTTTTCTTTTTTATAATTATTATTATAACATACAATACCTTTAACATTAACAAAAATGATTTATTATAAATACTTATGATAATATTGGTTCTTCCTTAAATATCTACAAGACATTTCGAAATATCATCGAATGTGTCTTTTTATAAAACGAATAAATATTCATTTTAATTATTATTATTAATATTATTATTATTATTATTTCTCAAGAAGGATTTCTATAATAAGTTTGCCAAGAAGATTGAAGAGGCGGAGTTAAGAAAAATGTCAATGCTGGTTGCCTGGTATCCCCTTGAAAGGAATTAAAACCGGTTCCCAATAATTCAACCAGTCTCTGACCGCGGAATCCAAAACGTTGCTGATATGCGTAAGAAGCTCGCGGACCGTCATCATGTTTGAATACTATCATCATAGAACCGGTTTCTCCATTTAAAGAAGAAAACATTCTGAGAATACCGGCCGATGTATTTTCATGTAATTTCCATAATCCGCCATTTAAAAGAACATTCTTCAAAGTTTTCCACCAATTCGATGGCCAAAAATCAGATGGCAGGGTCTTCTTTGTTTCCGTTATGATTGTACAATCAACTTCATTGATTGTGTTACATGTCTGTTGAAGAAAAAATCAAAAAAAAATTATATAACATTAAAAGAAATAAATCAAAGTCCACGTTTAGGAAAAAATAGTAAATTATTACTCACCGTATATAAAAAACTAATGAAAATAATTATGCAGAAACGCATAATAAAAATAACAATAGACGAGGACGAGGACGACCTTAAAACTCGACCCAGATGTGAATTGAAAAATATAAGCTGCAACATGGTTCTCGTCACACCTTTATACCTTCGTTCTCTTTAACTTTCTGATTGATAAAACCTGGATAGAATAGATAATCGATATTGAAATCAATTTCTTCTTTCTCTCCTCTAATTCATTGTTATTCCTTAGACGTAATTCAATCTACGTGTCTTACGTAGTTAGGTTTCATACGCATCTACTATTTTTTTGTGGTACATTGGATTAATGAGAGTTCAAACTTTCACTGTTGGATATTACGCCACAGATTTTACTAGTATTCTACTAATAGTGGGGTGGGAGGAGGGGGAACTAGACGATGGTTTTTCATTTGAATTACATACAAGTGACTTCTTTAAATGCATTGCATATAAGAGAAGGATTTAGTTGTTATTCAGTAACGGTAATCAAAGCACATTTATTTATATATATATTATATATTATTTATATATCATATTAGTTTTGAAAAAGGAATTTGAAAAGGTTTTTTTATATATTAATTTGTTTTTTTTTTTTCTAAGAAGAAATGAATATGTTCATTCGTTCGGTAAGTTTTCTTCCTAATTATTAGATGATCAATGAATAAGCATATTTATTGACAACCTTTTTTTGGTTTTCAATGAATTATTTTAGATAATATTATTGACGTTATTATTGATAATTAACAATGGTAAAAACAAATTGGTTTATGCAAATTCCGGATTGATTATCAATTTTTTACAATCGAACATCGCTGGATTACCTAATACGCATCAAGTAAATAAAAAAGCAATGTGTGTCAATGAAAATTATTGTTAATATAATTAATTATATAATTAACACGATATTGGGTGTTATATTTTTTTTTAAGGAAACCGAATGGAATTTTGATCCCGATGTTGGAAAACAAAGAAGAATCGATTACGAGGCAGTAAATGGTTTTCGTGGTGAAAAAGCCATAGCCAAATTGGGCACGGGAATTGGATATTCTGGATCATGGGGTACACCTAGTAAAAAACAATTGAACAGGCAATAAAAACGTTAATTGTTTTAAACAAAATAAAAATAAAGAATCCGTTAAATGTGAAGAACGTTTTAATTAATTAAACACAACGAAATATTCTTATATTGTTAATACATCGATAATATTGTTTTCCGATTGTGAGATGATGATTATCTGTTATAATAACAACAACAAAATTGTTTGATCAAAATAATTGGTAATTTGATTAACCACCTCGTGATGTTTTTTATGATATAAAATGAAAACATTTTAACGATTGATCACAACGTCATTCGTTGTTTCGTTGTATTCATTCGTCATGTAAAAAAAGAATACAAATATTTGTACACATAAGGAGGAGTATAATTATTTTTAATGATTGATATAAATATGTCGTAGTAATACTCTGTGCTAGAAAAGATTTTCATCTCTTATCGACAAAAGAAGAATTGATTTCTTGTTAATTAAGAATATTCAAGTATTATTTTATATGCGTTAAAATATTTTATGTTAAGTACGTAAAATCTCTATATTTAATAAACAAAATCATTTTATTTGAAATATTTTCGAATATGTAAAATTAAGATTTTGGAAACTTTCACTTATTGAAATTGGATGTATCAATTTATTATGAATAATTATATAACGCACAAGGATATACACAATATATGCATATTCTGTATATATTATTAATATAAATATTCCAAATATATTCATGTGTGTGTGTGTGTGTGTGTGATTCTATTGTTTATAAATAATAATAAAAAGAAAAAAAAAAGAGGAATTAATGAATAATAATTTATCTACCATTAGAATACGGTGAAAGTAAAAGAAATGACATATATATGTATATATATATATATACTGTCTAAAACTTTCACTTCGAGCAAACAGTCGAGTAAAACGATTGTGAAAATAAAAATGAAGTGGGGGATACATTAAAGGTAAAGTCAGTAAGATTAAAACATCGGATGAATCAAACACGTAGAATACACACGTCCGTGAAATATTATTTTGATTAATTTCTAATATCATTATTTACAGTGTTTGATTATATATATATAAAGAACAAAATAATTTTGTTTAAAATTCGCGTTTTACATATAGCGTGTCATTCAAAATTAAGAGTGAATATAAATCATGGGAAGAATATATACGACGGTAAGTAACAATTAATATTAGATGAAAATAATAATGAAAATAAAAGAAAATAATTAAGTATAAAAGTGACGAGAGAGATGAATATTTTTGTGTACAGAAAATGATTACGATCTTATTTTTAACGATCGTTTCAATATTCCTCGGACTAATTGTCGAAAGCAATGCAACAATAGGACAACCAAAGGCACCGAATTTCCAATATTTTGAACGGTAAGATTAATATATATATCATAGTGAAAAAAAATTAAAAATAAATTTTATCGTTTAATAAATATAGATTTGATTTGAAATAAATTTATAATCAATTACGAAAGTAGCTTAGACAAG